TGTGTGTGTGTGTGTGTAGCAGCTCAAGTCACAATAAACTTCCACAATCTGAATATCTAATGCTGTGTTGATCAGCAGAAAAAGGAAAGCTTCTGGTTTTATACATGTTATAAGTGTAACGTTTGCCAGCGTGTAATGTGTCCTTATTCTGTGGAACAAAATTTTTAAAACCAGATTCTAGTTTTGTGTGTTAGACCTGCAAAATGTTATTAAAAGTTCATCCAACGTCATTATAAACTCAAACATTATTGTACTAATCCTAAAGCGCTAATCATAAACATTCGTCCGGCTAATGCTAAAGAAATACATCAGAGTATTTAGCAGAAGCTAATGCTAAAGTGCCAACTTCATTTCAAATTATAGACATTTTTGAATTTAGCAAAAGCACAAAAAAAAAAGTGGGCTTGTGAAAATTTGGCCATGTTTTATTTGTTTCAGTATGTGATAGTGTTGCAACACATAAGAGAAATAAATATTGGATTTTAATCATAACACCAATATTAATATCGGATATCAATATTGGCCCACGTTTTCTTATTGGTGCATCCATAGACCAATACATAGTTTTTTGGATCACCAGCATTATCGGTTCTAATACCTGCTAAATGCAGCAGGATCTCTTTGTAAATAACCTTCTACTGAGATGGTGAGTAATACTGATGCTAGACGATCACTGGGCAACAACTAATATCTTCCCATTTCTTCTCAAATTTGAATGTTTCTTAGGAAAATCCAAAACCAGTGCTTGGGTTGAATCAACCATAAGAACAAAGTCTTTCTTCACAGTTGCCTCATTAAATTCCCCCAAATTTGGGGATTATTTAGTGCATGATCATCTGCCTCTGTTATTTGTGCTGAACTTTGATGGCTGCTTAGAACTGTATATATCTCTAAATAAAATATTGTTGCTGTTGGCTCTCAAAACAAAAATCATTGCGAGAGTTTTTTTGTAACTACTTTTGATTTAAAGTTCAGTGCTGTATGCTGCAAGGCAAATATGAGGATGACTGAGATTGGATTATTTTACTTTAATGATTAAGTCATCAAACTAGCATGAGTTTTTAATGGTGCTCATTCTTTATTTAGGCAGCTGTGTATTAGGGATGTTTGGAGAATTTCAGCCATTTTCCATGGAAAGTTTTATTCATGAGTCATAAAATCTGCTTTAATAAATGTTCTGGGCATCAGATTATACAGTTAGCAACTTAACTGTGCTGTAATAAAACAAGAAAAGTCTGTTATTTTAGCAGATGTTTGATTTTGGTTTTTGACCAACATGGTTTCACTTGTTTCCCTTTATGAAATGTCTCTACGTCTTAGGAAATAGTTTAAGTGAAAACATGAATAGTAAAAAACTTGAGTGATCAAACTTACAGATGTGGTTTGTAGTGATAAATCTGCGGTTTCACCAACAAACAATCGGCCATTCTCTGTAAATTCTCAACCACTTCCTCTCTGCATGTCTGCAGGTTTGATGGAAACTTCAATACCAACGTGTCCAAGACCATCTGCTGTGACAGACTTTCCCCCACAGTCAACAGCAGAGCATTCAACCCAGGACGAGACCTCAACTCAGGTTAGTTTAGATCTCCTAATCCTGTACAGAGAAACACAGGGAGGATTTCTTGTATGCAAGCTGTTATGAACTACATCTCCCATAGAAGCAAGTTTTCATGACAATCTTACCAGTTTTTTCCCTCCTCAGCTCCAGAAAGTTTAACATCGTCAAGGACATTGATGTTGGCTCTATATAAGACTCATTCTTCAGAGACCTTTTGATTCGCTCTCTCTGCATGTTCATTTATTTTTTTTTCTATTATAATTTTTTTCAACCTTTTATCTTTAAGATTAAATAATCTTATTTTACTTTGAACTCTAGTTTGCAGGTTTATTCAGGTCATCTGTTCTTTTTTCCTTTTCAGGGGAATTTACTTATTCTGACTTGATGTCAAATAGAATTTGCATCAGTTCTAAAAAAAAAAAAAATCCCTCTTATTAAGAGACGTTTAGTGAAAGCAGTGGAAAACTGCTCGTTATGACGGCCACCACAACACATTTAGTGAGTTTCCAGATTGCATGAGCCCAGCTACAGATTAGGACCTTGTAAAGCTCACATATGTGTTTGCAGCACACGTCTGTCTGGATCCAACTCTGAGGAAAATGGAAAATTATCATTTAGCTCCAGTTTTCAACCAGCTGGCTTTTCTGTTTTGGCGCTATTACTCAGTTTACTTTTTGAACAACATGAGTCATAACATGCAACTTTATTTATAAGAATAATTAATTTTATCTTTGCGATTTGCAAATTGTTTCCTGGAAATTTAGTCTTCCTCATTGCAAACTAATTTCACCATTCTTTAGAAAAACAATGACAGTTTTATGACCCTGATTAAATTGATGGATTCCATTCCACACCAATTTCTCAGTCATTCTCAAGGTGTAGGCATTCTGAAAGAGTATGATTTTAAGCCTAGACTGTTTGTTTTGCCAGACTGGTTGATTATTTTACTTGGAGGTTTTTGTTTTAACATACTGGACCAGTTAAATTACATTGTTGAAACCTTCTTAACAGATTGTTCTTCCAGAATTTTCTGTGTTTTCAGCTAGTTTTAGATACAACTTCGGTAAGGTGAGTTTGTTTTAACTAGATCAGTTTGACAGCGATGGTACTTTAATAGTTGGCATTAAAGTTCGTCCTAAGCAATCGGATCCCATCTACCATCATAATGTAGAGGGTTTTGATGCAGGAAGTATGAGAGAGCAAAAGCAACCTTCAAATCAGACTCGGTCGCACCAATTCTGTCAGGGGTGGGGAAGAATTTCAACAAAACTATACATCTGTCATTCTGTTGCTACTCTGGCTCAAATCTTTGTTTTTTTTTTTTTTAACCAGGAACAGCTCTCTACAAATCTTTAGTTCCTGCCACTTTTAACACATCATCATTGGTGGGGCTTTATTTTCCTTACAAGGCCAGTCGTAATGAGTTCAAGTTACCCCTCGGCCTCCCTGCTCCTCTTCTCGTCCCTCACACTAACTCCTCCTTGACCTCCTCATTGCCACTCTTTTCAGTCTCTCCCATTTGTCTCAGCCTAGTCTAAACAAGACCGCTATAGCGGGAAGGGAGGGCGTGGCTAAGGACACCAGAAATAATTGAGGAGGAGAGAATGATGAACGAAGGGAAAGAAGGGAGGGGTGAGAACTGATTGAAATGGAGTAATTGTATCTAGACTGGGTTGTTTCCTCCAACCCCCATCCCTTTTTATCTTTAATTTCCCTTCTTCTTTTAGAAGGACAGGGACAATGGTGGATATTGGTGAAATTAGTTTTTATACCAGCAGGTGGGTGAGAGATGAGAGGCTGAGTGCAGTTTGATAGCAGCACTAGTTTGATCCATCTACTTTTTCCCCTCTATCTTTTTCTTTCTTCCAGTGTAATTTTTCCAATTTCAGACCCCCAGTTTCCCATTCTACCCTTTTGCTTTCCATCCATTTTTGTCTACCTGTCATATCTTTTCTACTTCCATTCTTGGTCAGTCCGTGATTCACATTGTTGTTCCAGCATGCATGTCCAGTCTCTCAGCCTATAGTGATTGACTGGTCATAGTTTTGAGGCTGAATTCAAATTCCTAAAGCTTACATATCCCACTACTGAAATCGTCACATTTCAATTTCCCTTCAAGAGGATGCAAGAGCAACAGAGGTAAGAGCAGAGGTAAAGCTAATGTTATGTGTGATGGAGCCTTTTAAAGGGTTTCACTAGTTTTGAAAAACACAGACGGATGAATCTGTAGTATACAATTTTTGTTCATTTTGTATTCGTTTGGAGTTCGTCTAGCATGTCTAGCTTTATTGACTGGAAATCTCTGTGAAGGCCACCGACATTTCCTAAACCAACATGTTTCATAAATGTGGTTACAACATATTTATCAAGACATATATATATATATATATATATATATATATATAAAAAACATTTTTCTTTTTTTGTTTCATTGTTTTGTTTGGGGATTTTTTTTTAGTTGAACACTGAATACTTTTCAAACTTGACCAAGCTTGGAAGAAAGTTTTATAAACTATCTTCATATCTCTGGATTTTTTTGGCATCATTAAAGTATTATTGTACGCAATCTGATTTGGTATTTGAAAAACAAAGCAATTTTGTACTTAATGATCTGTAAGACAAACAGTGAAAGCAGTAAGAGAAATATTTCACTTTGGTTTTATATATAAACAGATGGCAAAGTTTTCTATAAAAGGTAGAAGTCTTGAAGCAAGTTTTATTTATTTTTTTCTACTGACTAAACAAGAATGGACTCCCATTAAGATCCAGTACTATAACCAACCATCCCAATAGCTTTAACATAATAAAGCTATCAAGTGTAAATTCACAACTGTTATTTTTTAACAATATCAGGTGGATCAACAGGGAATTACTGTGGTTTTGTGAATAAAAGCAGATGGGAAAGCTAAAGTAGTAGCAAGTAGTTGTCGTGTGGTCCCCACTTCTTGGTGTAGATAGCCATTTGTCTTCACAAGCCTTCTTCTACTGTCAGCACTACAAAGTGGTTCCTGTTTATATGAACCAAAGAGAGATGAGGTGGCAAAGGAGAAATGTTCAACACGAGGTGAACCTGTTTAAGTGGCTTTTCTTTCTTGATGAAGTATAGTCAGTGTTTTTTTTTGTTGTTTTTTTTTATTGAATAAAGATTGTGTTTTTTTCTCTAATACCCAACTAAAACATCAACCCTTTTCTGAATGACGAAGTTAAGAAATGTGTGAGTTTGTGGAATGAGCTGACAGAGAACGATTCTGGAGTGTCTGGCAGTGATTGTAGAACTAATTAACAGAAGAATAAACATCTTGAAATCCTTTTCCAGGTCACGGAAACCAACTTCCATAAAGCTACAAATGACCTCCAGGATGTTTATTGAATGCTTATTATTACTATGAACTCAAAGATTAAACATCTGGGCAAATAGTTTCACTCACCATAATAGACTACCAAAATAACAAGTAATAACCTCACGTGGCTTATGAAAATGAAGTCATTTGTTTTCTTGTCATATACAGACTATGTTTTGCTACTTCAGCGTGTGCATCTTTTGAAATGATCAATTAGGACAGGATTTGGTAATGTGACCATTTTAATAGCTTTAAGGTTGCCTAAGGAGCAATTTTGCTTTTTTTCTCAGACTTTGGCCCCAAAAGAGTTGGTGGGCAGTTGGTTTCTAGATGGAAGTACAAAAGCCAGTGAAAGAATTGGTAGTAACTAAATTGGAGTCTAAGTAAGGCCTAAATGAGTAAGATCTGCTAAAGGAGTTTATCATGAAAGTCATGATTGGGAAAAGAATAAGTTATTCGCCCCACTTCTATCTATAGCTGAATATTTTTATGGGTTGAAAATTACGAAAACAGTAAATAAGGCTGTTTTTTTTAGGTCTGGTAAATCTGGAACTTTATTATGCGAGAATGGACAATTATTTGCATTTTCAAACTTTACTTTCTTCTGATTAAATATCTGAATTTTCCAAAATGAGTCGTATTGACCAGATCTTTTCCCACTGACTATTTCAAGTCTTGAGTGAAACCTTTTATGGAAGGAATTGACATTTCATGAGCTTGTTTTAGATCGTCATTTTGTTCTGCGATCCACATATTTAACACATTTAACTGAACCTGAGCAGTACTAAACACTTCTCTGTGTTTGGGATGCTGTTGGTTTCACTTCGAAAATCCTTTTATTGTGTTTGTTTCTCCCAGGCACCTCCACATGTCATCAGCCTGCTGAATTTTTTAATTACCAATTGTTTTGTCTTCCATCTTATGTGCAGTGTTGGCGGACAACCTGAAGTCCAACCCAGGGATAAAGTGGCAGTACTTCAGCTCAGAGGAGGGCATATTTACCGTCTTCCCCGCCCACAAGTTTCACTGCAAAGGAAACTACGAACATCGCAGCCGGTACATATCGCCCCTTCTCTCTTAAAATTGTTACATTTTTAAAATGTATTTAGGCACTATTCTTTTAAGCAGATAATGAAATCTTTTCCCGCTCTACACACTCGTGACATATCTGTCTGCCATGTTGTTGCCTTCGTCTTCATCACCCCCATGCACCCTTCACCCCGCTGCCCCCTCCTCTACTGGTTGCTGTAGGGTGGCCCAGAGGGCATGCTCATGGCATGCCGCCCTTGTACTTCATGACCATACATGCCTTTAGCAGGAATGTGCCTCTGTGCCACTACAGACTGATGGAATTTCACACCCCAAGTCTGTTTTTTTTTTTCTTTTTCTGTTTATAAACCCTGACTTGAATATATCTTTCACTTTATTCCTTATGTACTTTGCATCTTCACTTGATTTTTCTCATCGCAGTTTGAATTAGCAACTTGGCGTTCGGCCATGGGGAGAAAGGATGTTGCTTGGCCAGCTTCAGTTGTGAATAAGGCTTTGTGAGCAGAACCCCCCACCCCATACGTCTGTACGTGTCTTCTTGTCCAGCAGACCACACACAGTGGCTTTGAATCCATGTCCCATTCTGCTTACAACATACAGCCATCGATGTGTCAAACTGTGGATTGTGAACAATTTAGTTCCAGCCCAACGGTTTTATTGGTTCAGGATAAATGATTGAACTCATCGGATGCACTAATCTGATTTCCAAAAGGAAAAGTTTCCTCTTTCATTACTTTCAAAGTGATAAGTTGACTTTCCTAGAGCAACAATTGTAGGTTGTTCAAGTTGCATCAAAAAGTGAAACACATTAATTGTAGATTCATCACACACAAAGTGTACAATGAATTTAATTCAAATATTTTATAAAAATGGATTGTTTTCTGGATACACTCACTTAAGCTAGTCAATTTCTTTTATAATTTCCCCTATTTTTGCAACTTGTTTTACCTTTTTCCATTGTTATGTGTGGATATTTATTTCTTTGACTTGGTGGCTTAGGTTCTTTCAGGGACGCATCTGTAACTATCTAGTGAACAATTGTCTTGACGACAGTCTTGCCTCTCTGGTTTGTGTGGACCATTGGGCTTTTCTGGAGAAAACTTACCCTAAATCTCAAACTATAGAAAACGTCAGACAGTAGTATGACCTTGGTTTGCACCCAAATGATCAGAAAATTGACAGAGATCATTAAAATTTTCAATCCAGAAAAATCAGGGGGTGATGTAGAATGTTGGGTACCTGGTGGACTGGACTGGACTAGACTGGAGCGGACTTTGAGTTTCTGTGTTCTTGTTCCAGGCCTGTGTACGTCTCTGCAGTGCGCCCACAATCCAAGCACATTGTGGTGATGGTCGACCATGGAGCATCTATAACAGATTCACAGCTTCAGATCGCCCGTGATTCTGCTCTTGTGATCCTTAATTCCATCGACGAACACGACAAGGTTTGTAAAAGGAAGCAGACGTTTCTCCGCTTGATTAGGAAACGATTATTTAGACGTTGCTTTGAAAGATCAAGAAGTTAATCTGTTGAGGTGAAATTGCCTTGTCCCTCTGCAGATCTCCATCCTGTCTGTGGCAGAGGCGGTCCGCTCCTGCTCTCTGGACCAGTGCTACAAGAGCCTGCTGTCTCCAGCCACTAGCGAGACTAAGAGGAAGATGGGCACCTTTATCTCTAACATCAAGGCCTCTAATGGAGCCACGCAGCATGCAGCTGGCTTCCAGAAGGCTTTCCAGCTGCTCCGCAACACCAGCAGCCTCAGCAAGCAGAGCTCCAGTAAGTCCAGACAAAACTTTCCAACTCCTGCTCTTTTGCATGTGTGACATGAGATTCCTTGAGCCCTTTAATCATTAAATGTTTCATGTTGCGCATTAGCTACAGATATGGTCATCATCTACCTTTCATCTGGCGTCACGTCTCGAGAGTCGTCCGAGCTGGAGAAGAGAGCGACGCTCAGCGTGGTTAGAGAGGAGAACCGGCACCTCAACAACTCCGTCATGATTCTCACTTACGCTCTTATGAATGGTGGGTGTCGATGTCAAATTTATTTATATAGCACTTTTAAAAACAGGTGTGAAACTGCACCAAAGTGCTGTACAAAAATTATAATAGAATAAGTTGATGAAAAGAGAGAGAAATAACACAAATGGATGGATCATCATGTGCTCGTTTCTACCAAATTAATTTCTTCTACCAGGTGTTTTCACAAATCGTTTGTTGTTTTATATATGCTATAGATTCTCTTTATTTTTTTGGAACCTTTTTTTTATTTCACATTGATGGTGTTAAAATAGAACCAACTATCGGTACAATAATTAACCATTTTTTTCCACCTGAAATTTTCACAGATCATTTGGTTACTTAGTTACATTATTGATTCTCTTTTTTTTTAATCAGCATTAATATAAAACCAGAATAACAATTCTCACAATTTATTTTTCTACCAGATGTTCCCACAGATCATTTGTTTACTTATTTTTATGTCATTGACTTTTTTTGCGCATTCAATTAGAAAAAAAAAATCTATATTAGTCAATCTTTACCAACTATTTTTGAATTATTAAACATATTTGGTTGCATGGTACCAATCATAAAGGCTTGCAATAGTTAGATTCCTTGTGTGACTCCATCTGCCTCACCACTTAAAAAACTAGTTTGGCCCTAAAGCTGTTTGATGCATTTCAACAATCTGAAGTGCTCTTACATCAGCTTTTTGGCTCATTTTGAGGGGAATTGAGTTGTAGCTGTGAAATCTAGTCAGTTATGGGGAACATTTTTTTATACCTTTAATAAGTTCACTGTGTTGCTGTTGGAAAATGTGAAGTTTTGTTCATTTTTTGATGCCCCATCTCCTTTTATCTGTTCTCAAAATAAGCCTGGAGGTTACAAAGATGCTCTGAAACATTTGACAGTTTCTTGTTTATTTGTGTTGAGTCTGAGGTCTGTATTCTTCTTTCTCTCCATTTTCAGTGTCTTTGTCTTTCCATCTGCCTCCTCTAATTCCCACCTCCCTCTGCAGGGCGCACTAACCCACCCCTTCTGTGCATGCATTAGGCCACCATTAATACAAATCATTTTTGCATCGGAGAATGGAAATGAGGTACATCTAAGAGAAAGGGGGAGAGCGAGACTTCAAAGAGCCGCGCCGCTGCCTGGACGTGTGTGACTGACAGAGGACCTTGGCTCTTTAAAGAGAGATGATGAAAAGGATGCAGAAATCTCTCGTTCTCCTGGTGTATTAGCATTGCATATTCAGAAAAACATTTGTTTCGTGGCTGATGCTGTTGCACGACTCTGAAAGGCTCGGCTTGTGGATGGGCTGGGGAAGAGGGGTGTCTTTTTTTTTTTTTTTTTTGCTACATCTCTTGCCAAATGTGAAGTGCTGATTGTTGAAGGAGATCAGCAGTCTTACCGGCACTACAATGCACAGTTGTGTGTTTCACTGTGTTGTGTGTGTGTGTGTGTGTGTGTGTGTGTGTGTGTGTGTGTGTGTGTGTGTGTGTGTGTGTGTGACAAGTTGCAAAAATCTCTGGCTTCTGCAGTCCATTGTTTTGTAGCTCGATTCTTAATCAGATGTAAAAAGAAAAAAGAAACATTTTCTCCCTTCAGATCAAATATTTTTGGGGAATATTGGAGCATAAGGACCCCTGCAAATGAAAACTGCAGGTATTTCTGCTCAGCCTGAGCTGTCAGCAGATTTCCCTCCTGGAGTCCGTTTGACGCTGCCACCCATCGCCTCCACTCTGCGGTCCAGCAGGGTGATCAAACGAGCAGAGCCCTGGCATTAAAAAGAAATCCCACTGTAATCCGTTCAGTGATTGGACGCTGGCAGACGCTCGACTCTGTCCTTCTCGACGGCCGTTGGGATGCCAAATGTTCCAGGTGACAGCTGTGGGGGCTTGTCACCCATCCATCCATCCATCCCTTGGTTGAATGACCTTGTGATGCCTGTTAAGATAGTCAAAAGTGTGCTTTGCCGTCTATGTTCTGCATGTTTATGTTTAAGTATTGGCAGATTTATTTATGTCATGGTGTTGGAGTTGACAGACGACAGCTGGGCTTGGAGGGAGCTTGGGTTGGCTCAAGTCGCGCTTGTCAAGTCGGGGCCTGAATATATTAAAAGATATATTAAAATTCCTGATGCAGATGCAGAAAAAAAGTTCCAAAATTTGTAAACGGTGCTTTTGACTTTCCACTAAGAAAATGTGAGAAGTTGAAGTGTTTTATGGGTTTCTATGTGATTAAAAAACAAACAAAAAAAAAACAGGGTTTACACATAGAAATCTGCAAAGTGTGGCTTATATTTGTGTTCTGCTGTGGATCACCACAGCATGATGCTGCCACCACAAAATTTCACAATGGGCATGGGACTCGGGGTGTTCAAAGTTCAATCTTAAGTGATCAGAACATATTCCACTGGAATTCTTTCTGCTTTTTTAAACAATTTGACAATCTTGCCATTCTCTTTCAACAATCAATATTACGTGTTTTATGGTTAATAAATGATGCATCAATAGGCAAGTCATTGCCTATTGATGCACTTAATAGATGATAATTTAATGGATGATAATTTGTCCCAGAAAGTTTTGCGATAAGCAATAACAGTCATTTGACATATTTTTCAAGTAATACACTGATAATGGAATAATACAAATTTGCTCTCTCAAAGACTAATAAAGTGAAAGTGTACAGATAAGCCACAGGGGAACTGGAAGGAGGTTTGTGGTTATAACCTGGTAGAAATGTTAAATTTAACAGGTATCAATATTTTTGCAAGACTTCATTCATATATGAAAGACAATTTTGGTTACCAGGCATGTCAATCCATCAACCCAAGGTTTGTTTATGATATTGGAAAGAAAAAGTTCAGAATTGACTTTTCTTGTCGTGTTGTTGCTCAATTTCTCTTCCCCTCCCCATTTCCTCACCCAGAGGGAGTCACGGGCCTGAAGGAGCTGGCCTTCCTCAGAGACCTCGCCGAGCAGAATTCCGTCAAGTACGGCGTCGACCGAGCGTTGGAACAGGAGCGTGCCTCGCCCAGATCGGCCCCCATGATGCCGGTGGTGAAGGGCAGCATGATGGTGCTGAACCAGCTGAGCAACCTGGAGATATCAGTGGGACGCTTCTACATCAACCTGCCCAACCGCATGATCGACTTGGTGCGCTTCAGCCTGCCCTACTCCGACCCCATGGGGGACGGTGAGTGGTGGGGACCGGCTTGGGAGAAAGGAAAACTCCAGGATCCATCTCATACTTGACCATTTAAATATAGAAATGAATCAGTCAGGATTTAATTGGCCCATAACAAATTGGAACATTCTGTTTCATTTAACCACTTAAACCTTTATATAGAATATAAGAAATGCATTTGAGTATGCAAATAAAAAATGATTCTTTTTTAGATGAGACAGTGGACATTTTATTGAATAAAATACAAAAAGCATTTCTTTAGTGAACACTTGATCATTTGTAGCAACAGATGCATCTGCAGCTAAAAACTTTACAATTAGCAATTGGATAGCAAAAGGAGTTAATAGGATATTTTTTCAGATGGAATTTGAACCAGGTGTTTTTTTTTGTCTTTAAAAGCTAGTATTTGTATGTATATATCTATTGTACAGTTTTGACTTATTTACTGCTCTGAATGTGGTATTTTAGCAGATTACCTTTTTAGAGTCTGAATATTCCAGGTAACAATTAAATAATAAAAAATAAAAGTATTTAAATTAGTTGATGCATATTTCAAGTTGGATTTTCATTCATCATTAGCATTTTGATCGTTTTTGTTGTAACCGTTTCAAATGCTGTAACAAATACAGTGTGTTGATTTTATTATTCTTAATTTAAAAATTAAATGAGCAAAATCTGAGTTTAAAGGTGCAGCTGGTATCTTAGAGGCATGATTTTTACATTCAACAGCAAATTAGAAACGTCTTCATTCCAGCACTAAAGCATGTCTTCCATTGTCAGTGCACAAATAGAGCAAGAATGTTTTTATTATACCAAGAAAGTTATACATTTTCAGTTTTTGTGTTGACTAAATTCAACAACATAATGTTCTATGAGTGCATTGTTACATTGTTATCTGATTAAAGCAAAGCAAGACTGTTCAGAAAAAAGTCAAGTTTTACCTCCATGGTGCTTTAGTCGGCCATATTTGCCCAGATTGTTGGTAGAATACATTGTGTAGACGGAGCCTTGAGAACTTTGTCCTTTTTCTGTTTTGCTGCCAAATCATGCTGCATTTGATTTATGGTGGCCCCCCACCTGCCCCCCCACACACACATTAAAAGCACAGCTGCTAAGTGTGTAAAAAAAACTAACTTTAAAACCACCTTTTATTCCAGTAACATAATCTCACACATGGAAAAAAATGCCTGCAGTTCTCCAACAGTGAGCTTTGGGGATGTTTTTACCTCTGTACATGCTGCTCATGATGTAAGAAAATCTCACCAGTCTTGTCACAAATTCTGTTGCATTAAACTTTTTATGTAGTGATTTTTTTTTTTTATTTTTTTTTTTTTATGAAAGGAGTTATGTTTTGCAGTTGTTTTCTAATATGTGAAAATCAGTATAGATCTGCTTCACTTCAGTGAAGAGCGGTTATGGAAAATGAAGAGTGGTTATGGAAAAGGGGCCTCTGTGCTGCTTTATATTATTAAGTCAGAGAAACAGGAAGTTGTAGATTAGTCATTAAAATCTCCTGGACCCCTCCGCTGACTAAGTTAAAAAAGAAAAGAATAGATGAAAAATAATGATAAAGTATCGGAAGCATAAATATTTGTTGCTCTGGATCATTTTCTTATAACAAAGTTGTACTCAAATTAAAGGTTGGGTTTCAGTGTGAAAATATTATATTTCAGTAAAATCTGAATTTATTTTAAAATACTTTACTCATCTGTTTTAGCTGTAAATGTGTGGATATCTTTGCTTTTAAAAACCTGTTTTAAAGCTACAAAATTAGCATAACAGAAACCTTTATTTGCTGTTAAAAAATGTCTCAACAGTGATGATTTACTAACTACGCTGTTGCGTGACATAGTTTTTACTAATTCAGAGCCTTTTGGGCTGTTTGGGACAAAAGAAAAGGGTAGCCATCTTGCAGTCAGGAAGCTGAGGTTTGGATTTCAGCTTCCTTCCTATCCATATGTTGTTCCGTTGGGCAAGGCACGTAAATCTAATTTAACTGTCCATGTATGTGAATGTGGCTTGTGTGTAGAACTTTAGGTGTTCAGTATGACTAGAAAACCATTATGTACTCTTAAGTTCAGTCAATTTGTTTTTCCTACTATAAACTATAATAATATTGCTTAATGGCTGGTAAATTGTGATGTGTTTCAACATGGTTCAAAGAGAAAAGAGCATCTAGGATAGAAATGTCTTTTGAAGTCCTTCCAGCTGCCTCACGTACCTGTTGCATCTCCTCCAGGTTTCATCATGACTGTGAGCCGGCCCTGTTACTTCGGTAACCTGCTCCTCGGTGTGGTCGGAGTGGATGTGAACCTGGCTTACATCCTCGAGGACGTCACCTACTACCAAGACTCGCTGGCTTCTTATACATTTCTCATTGACAACAAAGGTACATAGAGGCACATACAGCAAAATCACGTCTGATTCGTGCAAAACTGTTGAGCCAATCTTGATCTCCTGCTCTTTGAAGCATGTCTGCTTGGCAGACAAGTGAAACATTAGTGAGGTTTTTATTGCATGGCACTGATTGCTTTCAGTGCAGTTAGGAAGCTTTTAGTGTGGTGCATTCACTGATTAGAAAAAGTTTGGAATGTTTTGTTTCTTATCGGCCAATAAGTTTTCAGAACCAATAAAGCAGGAAATCTGGGTACTATATAACCTCCTGGTGGATTTCTGCTTGTAATCTTTGACTATTCAAGTAAAACCATGGAAAAAATACAGTTCCACTGTTTTAATCTTGCATTTGATCTTGAAAGGTTACACCCTGATGCACCCATCTTTGACCAGACCATACCTGATGACAGAGCCGCCCCTGCATACTGATATTATCCACTACGAGAACATCCCAGGATTCCCTGTTGTCCGAAACAACATCCTCAGGTGAGGGAACATCAACAACTATTTGGAAAGTGACAAAGAGAGCAGTAGCTCAAATTGCTCAAGACATGGCTGTACAAGTAGGAAGATTTTGGGTCACATTTTTACACTAATCTTGCGATTGACTGTTCTGTTTGCAGCCTCCCTTTAGGCAGTCAGATCATTGCTGTGCCGGTCAACTCTTCCCTTTCCTGGCACACAAACCGGCTGAGGGACAACAGCAAAGATGCATACAATGTCAGCTATGCCTGGAAACTGGTAGGTGTTCGGTCGGTGTGTGGTCCAATAACCACTGAGAACACATCCTTTTTATTCATGTTTACCTCCACATCTGAAGTACATTATTGTCGCTGCACTGCGCTCTAAAGTCCTGCCAAGATTTATGCTCTCATCCTTCACCGTCTTAAATTAGTTTTAGTGTAACAAAACCCATTAAGCCCCAACACCCAGAACCTGTCTGAATCTGGGGTGAATGTTTGGAACAAATTGCAACAGGACGGCCACATCACCATGACACCGCTCTGAGACTTTCTTCTTCCTGTCATTTAGATGCTTTGGCAGAAGCAGAAGAATCATCTTTAATTTCAGCATGCCACTTTTGCTTCTTTTTAAATGCCTTCTGACATCTGGGTTATTCTTTCCAAACGAGAACAAGCGTTCAAACAAGTCACATTTGACATGAGTTTGGCAGTGCTGCAGGCTTTTCAATGGGCTTTCCAGAGCCAGAACATCACTGAACCTGCCTACAAAAACATCACTTGAGAAGAGAGTTTTGTTTCCCACACAGGTCGCCCCGTTTTGCACTGCTAATAATATCCAGGTGGATTGAGATGCAGATTTATTTGAAGAGATGGTTTTATGACAATTATATTACTACCTGATTTTATGTAAAAAAAAATAAAATGTAGCAATAGAAGAACAATGAAGGGTTATTTTAAGATCTATTTTTGAAAGGGACACATTTATGTTCTCCTGCAGCCATAAATCTCTGGCATTGTAAAGTTGAGCTTGTCTTTAAAAACACGAATGCTGAACACAAGGATTTTAAAGCTTCAGATTTATTTGGAGGCATAAGTAATTGCTCCCCTGGGTATGTGAAGATGAGTTAAGATACACATTAGAGCGTCTCCAAAATTAAAATTGTCTTCATTTTCACAATTTGGGGATGTAGCTTTGATGTTTTTTCCAGCTCTCAATTAATTTGCCATTTTTGCTTTTTTTTTTTTTTTTACCTCAATTTCATTTAGCCATTACTTATCAGTTATTTAAGTATTTGTATGTTCATATGCAAATGTTCACACTTTACAATTTAACTGTACCGTATTTTCCACACTATAAAGTGCACCGGATTATAAGGCGCACCTTAAATGAATGGCCTATTTTAAAACTTTTTTCATATATAAGGCGTTTAGAATAGACGCTACAGTAGAGGCTGGAGTTATGTTATGCATCCACTAGATGGAGCTGCACTAAAAAGAATGTCAACAAAACAGTCCGACTCCGGTCGGTTAGGAGAGCCTTCCGCGACTGGGCCGGGGCGTGGCCGGACGATGGTCACCCTTCTCAGTTCGCGCACAGCATGTTCGTGGAGAACGTGGTGCTAAATGACCTGCAGACGACCTGATTATAGACGATCGATAGGCAGATAGGTCAGTCAAACTTTATTAATAGATTACAAAACAGCGTTCTGACAGCTATCCCAGCATGCGCCGCACGCTTCTTCTTCTACGGGCGAAAATGAAGTCGGCAGTTGCTTACCGTAGTTGCTAGACCTGTTGTGGCTCAATATTGGTCCTTATATAAGGCGTACCGGATTATGAGGTGCACTGTCGGCTTTTGAGGAAATAGAAGGTTTTTAGGTGTGCCTTACAGTGCGGAAAATACGGTATATTGTTTTCTAGAGATTTTACAGTACACCTTTGTTTCACTGATTATGGCTCTAAACTCCTGAAATTTGGCCAGTTATGACCTGTGAACAACCAAAAATAAATTGCAATGACTTTCTAATTGATCTTTATGGGAGTCGCATAACTATATTTTCTACAAGTAGAAAATATTGTTTTCTAATGGTAGGAAACATAGGAGATTATAGAAAATGCATGAAACATTCCCAAGTTGGGTACACATTGATGCATGATCACAAAATCCTGAGTTCAAAAAGATCAAAATTGGAAAATGGTCTTGAGAAGTCAGGGAAATACATGTTTTTAGACTTTTACCTTTTAAAAATGATCAACTACATAAATGTATGTTGATTAAGTTTAAATGAAATCTTTTATTTTATATTTGCAACATCATCATCAGATCATTTTTACCAAACCTCAGTTGTTCTGCTTTTGGATTTACTGACTGAGAATCCATCGTAAAACTAATTCAAAGCCCATCTTAAAGTATGGTTTGAGATGAAACCTGTGGTTTTCTTAACTACTTGAGATGCAAAACAAAGCTCTGAGCTGCTGTTTAATATCTTTGATATTTCATAACAAAGATAAGAAATACTACTAACACTGCTTTAAAGAATATGTATTTAGTGCAGAATAATTACTTCATCTGTTGAGAAGTGCTAAAACAAATTAGATAAAATGTAAAAAAAACAAAAAAACAACAACTGTAAATTAGCCTTTTATCTCATTACCCAACTTCAGCTTTGAGATATTTTTATGATTTATACAACAAACAGATAATGAAACTCAACAAGATAAATGTTTTTAGTTTAAATATTAAGTTGTCATAAAAGCAGATGGATAAATTGAGAAATCTGAGCCTGGAAAAGTATTGAGTTGTCAAATAGGACTCTGGAAATCTTGAATTGCAAAATAATTCGTTTTGTATGTCAGTTGCAGGAAGATTTTTCAAATAATAAGGAATTATTCATACCAAACTGTAACTCTTTCTCCATGTTGTAGACTTGCATTGTTTGGTACATTTCTTTAAAAGGGTATTACAGAATCAAAAGTCCCGGTTATACAACTTGTTTTTAATTAGTTTTTATCAAAAGACATTCAAAAGAGATTGTCTTTTGACAGTCATTGGGTGTGTCCAACTAAAAGCATCCAATAAGCTCTCCTCTTTTATCCCTCAGGTCCAGGACACGTCTTTTATTTTGTGCATCGTGTACATCCAGCCGGAGATCCCAGTGAAGCAGCTGAAGAACCTGAACACGCCTCCCAGCTCTAAGCTGCTGTACCATCGCTTAGACCTGCTGGGCCAACCCAGCTCCTGCCTGCACTTCAAGCAGCTCGCCACTGTTGGTACGGACAACTCTAAATTCAACAGATCCCTATTATAATTTTACTGAGCTCTAACTGACTCTACTGTCCCTCTGCCTATTTCCCAGAATCCCCCACAGTGATGCTGTCTGCTGGTAGCTTCTCCTCTCCGTATGAACATCTCAGTCAGCCGGAGACGAAGCGGATGGTGGAGCACTACACGGCCTACCTCAGCGATAACACCAGGCTTATTGCCAATCCAGGCCTCAAGGTACGCAAGCCCTTAAAACACACAACATTCACACACAGAGGTATTTCGTTTACCTAACAAACACATGGCGCACCCCCAGGCTGAGGCCTGTTTACATCTCTTCCTCCTGTTATGACACTCACATTCTAAACTTCAACTTAACCCTGACATGTTTTGCGGAGGACTGTGCTTTAATAGGTGTTTTTTGGTCAACTTCGTTTTTAAATAATTCTTCAGGTAAAATTTCAGAAGTTGTGAAGATGTTCTGCAACTTTAAGAGGAAGGGGATAAACTCCCACAAAGGTTTTGGCATTCTGTGTGCATTCCTTTCCTGGGGGGAGTTGGAAGTCCAAAGCGGAGTCTCAGTGCAGATTCCCAGGCTAGTCTTAAAGACCCCCTCCAGTGACCTCATCACCCCTTTCAAACTCGAAGGTTTGTCTCAGAATGGTTCTGAGATGGGATTTTTCCAGGCTTAGCGATTAATCAGTCAGATTTATTTCCTCTAATGCCACCTCATAAATGGATTTTCTTTTTTAGTCATTTTGTTCTCAAGGCAAACATTGTAAAAAAAGTTTTCACAACTTGGATTCAAGGCAAAAACACACAAAATGGATCCAAGTTTCTTCAACCCCTGCTGTTTCTCTCCTTCCTTTCTCATCTTTCATCCCTTCTTCTTTTCCCCTCCACAGTCCTCTGTCAGGAACGAGGTTATGGCAACCAGTCATGTTACGGATGAGTGGATGACACTAATGGAAATGAGTAGCCTCAACTGCTACATTGTGCGCCGTTACATAGCAACGCCCAGCGGGGTGCTCCGGATTTACCCAGGATCGCTGATGGACAAAGCATTCGACCCGACCCGCAGACAATGGTGAGGTTTACTTTGGTGGGCTTTAAAAGGGGGGCAAGATGACATTAAAGGTGTTTGGAGTTTTGTTTTCGGGCTGCGAAGGGCGATCCAGAATAGTTCTGGAGTTTGCTCCTGTTAAAGAGAAACAAATATGTGATATTCATAGCTTCAGTCTGGTAAAGTTACTCTTATGAAGTTTGAACTGCTTTTTTCCCCTTTCTATTATTAAGTCAGTTACTGTCAAATTTATGTTTTCTGAATTATAACTCATGTGAGCACAATGCTATTGTGGCTTTTTATAAGGATATAATATAAATTTTACAATTCACAACTTTACAGGACTTAACTAGCCAAGACCAGAACATGTACAAAGTGCTCAGGGACGTATTATTACACTATTAAATTGCATGAAAAGTCAAAACTATTTATTTATTTATTTATTTATTTTAAAAAAGCACACCTTTCTGTAAAGTTATGTTTGTTTGGAAATAACACGTGGAGAACCTCTGCAGCAGGAATTCTGACCCCAGAATTTTAATTCAGAACAGCAGCCACTCATAAAATTATATGAAGGTCACGGTAATTAACTGCTTATTTGCATCTATAACAATTTTATCATAGAATGCCAAATGCATAGCACACAATGTGCTGTACCCATGATAACATACAGATAATGAGGGGAAGATATTGTCATTGTATTATTAGTACTGCTAGCTAGCCTCACAAACATGAACAAATCTGACATGATTATGTAGTCTTATGTAATCAAATTTTCTAATAAATACAATTTTTTGTTTTCAGTACCTCTGAGCTATTATCAACATTATTCAAAATAAATACTCGAAACCTCTCTGCATGTAGTAAATCTATATATGGATCTCACTTTGTGAACGTTATTACGGAAGTAGCTGTTGTTTCCTTTGATTATTCGAATTTGCTCCGGTTTCACTGAGCCCAGAGGGAAGTGATTGTCCTGGGTAACTCTGAGTGTGTCGTACAGGTACCAGCATGCTGTGGCCAACCCAGGCCTCATCACCTTCACTGGTCCCTACCTGGATGTTGGCGGCGCAGGTTACGTCGTCACCATCAGCCACACTATTCATGCCTCAAGGTAAAATAAAATGGTTCCAGTTTAATATTAGCGAATGGAATGTCTGGTCTGTTTCCTCTAGATTTATAAGAGTCACCCCCAGTAAGCGTTTAATTATTGACCATTATGTTTGAGCCTTTTTACTTTCTGCTCAATAGAGCCACTGTTGTGAGGGAAGATATCATGATCAGCAAGAATTTTATCCTGGGGGTCATTTCACTGAGACCCAGCTATCTCTGAAAACAGGAAATAATTTGACACAAATGACAAGATACTGAGACGGACTCTTTCATTGCTTTTCAATGAGTAAATGATCCATGTTCTGTTATAATTATCATCAATTCTTCTCTTGTAAAGTACTATCAGGCAAAACAGTGTGTTGTTACACAGTAGTAGGGGGGGAAAGGAGAGAAATGGAAATATGTTTTGTCGCTGGTGCAGAAGAGATTTGAAAATGTCTAAAAAGAGTCCTGGGCCGAGATTAGAATGTTTGTTTCTAAGTCAGTGAGCCTAAAATACAACAGAGCATCATGGCCACCGGGATTCTGACAGCGCCACAATCCAAACAGTTTATCACAGCCCCTTCAAGTATTCTGGATAGAAATAAACACACAGTTTAAGGGTGTGTGATAAGGCAGGGTTGTGTTTTGTAGTTGAATTGGTCAGTGAGTGTAACAAACAGTATGTTAGACTGAGACAGATTGCAAAATTACGTGGTTTTTTTGGTGTTTAATTTAGCCTTGTTTTACAAAGATCTGTATAAAAGTTGGATTACTTGTGGGATGGCTCAGAGAATTTTCATTTTCCCAGCTTTTGTTTTTTGTTTTTTTTTTCTTCTTTCAACATGACTCATTTTTCTGTTTTTCTGCTCTGCCTGCAGCTCTCAGATGGCCCCTGGGTATGCAGTGGCAGTGATGGGTATAGACTTTACTCTTCGCTATTTCTATAAGGTCCTGCTGGATCTGCTGCCCATCTGCAACCAGGATAAAGGCCATAAGATCAGGTAGGGAGACGGTAGATTTTTCACTCGTCCATGCAGATAATTCCCCCTTTTTTCCCCCTCGATTCCCCCTGGAAGTCTTTGCAAGCTTACAACATTCATGTTTCATTGGGCAAGAACAAAAGTTGCTGAGAGACAGAGAAGACAACAGAAAGCGGGAAGAAGAAATAAGCTGATTATCAGCAGTCCTGAGGGAGTCCTGCATCAGTACCCCATAACTTTATTCATCTTCTTTCTTTTGATCTCTCATCCACATCCATTTCTAGGTTACTCCCTAACTCTCCTCCCAAACCCCCTGTTCTGTTTTGCTTTTATAAGCCATGTAAAACAGCTTTAGTTTTTAAGGGAGTTGCAACAGGAAGAAGCTGCATATGGCAAAATATTTGAGAAGCAGTCAGAAGTAGAATGGAGCCAAAACATTCAGTTAAAAGAAGGCTATTTTTGAACGGAAAGGAAGGAAATTGTATCTTGGATCTTATTTGAAATTGTTACTTATATCTGTTTTGTAATTCAGGTGCTTTATAATGGAGGACAGAGGATACCTGGTTGCTCACCCAACCCTCATTGACCCGAAGGGTCATGCCCCAGCAGAACAACAGCACATCACTCACAAGGTAAAGGGTTGAGATATATATTAAGTTAGTTTCAATTAGGCAGGCCTTTGTATTTACAGAGTACACAGAAACAATTAAACCACTTTAAAGATAGAATGTTCTACTTTCAATAACTTTATGGTCACAAACATCTAAGGTCGCTTCGGTGGTCTGGTAAAGCTGTCTGCCCTAACTCACTTAATTTTCCTGCATAGATTCCAAACTTTTTCCATTTTTGACCAATGAGCCACAACACATCCATTCAGGATAATCCTAGTGAAAGTCTTATTGCCTAGATAAGCAGAATGTGTCCTGTACATAAGTTGTCCAACTGCTGTTTCAAACCTTGATTACACATCAGCCACATTTAGTATTGAATTCTTATTTTAAGACATACAAAGGACTCTTAAAATGACTAATTTACGTTAACAAACAAAGAATTTGCAGATTATACAGCAATTCTGTTTCACATTTTCAGCACTTACAGGCTTAAGGTCTACATTATATATTTACTGTTTAAATTAAGGTAAAGTTACACATCTAGGCGCAAAGTAAGTCATACCAGATTATCTTCCATCCTTGCAATGTCCATATATTTAACTTACGACTTTTTCAGTTATCTAGTTAGAGACACTTTCTTATTGTAATCTCAGTAAAAACTGCCTTTCACATTTGGGTATTAAATCAGAAAAACAAAATTAATTAGCAAACTGCATTTAAAGTATATAAAGATTTTTATTTCGCAGAGTTATTTATATGCAATTATAAATTAACATTTTCCTTGTTTGTTGTATGTTTGTGTTTTATTCTAGGAGCCACTTGTGGCCAATGACATCCTGAACCATCCAAACTTTGTCAAGAAAAATCTTTGCAACAGCTTCAGCGACCGGACAGTGCAGCGCTTCTACAAGTTCAACACCAGCATCGTGGTAAGGCAGAAACCAGTGGACTCCGACAAACTATTCTAAACCATCAGCCAGTATTGCACTGCCATCTTGTGGTGGTTTTCAGTACTGCAAATTCATTTCTCCCAATTCACGGTTAAAGTTAAGCAAACAGAGTCTTATTTACATATATACAGCCAACAAACCTAAACCATATTTCTTAAAAAATAAGTCAAATCTGATTTGAGTTAACTGGCCGAATTAAAAAGCATATTAAGACATAAATGGTGAACTGGTTGGTTGACATAGGTTTCGTCTCCTCTCTTCCTCACTCAGGGAGACCTGACCAACCTTGTCCATGGCAGCCATTGCTCCAAGTATCGCCTGACTAGAATCCCCGGCACCAATGCATTTGCTGGCATCGTCAATGAGACGTGTGACTCGCTGGCTTTCTGTGCCTGCAGCACGGTGGACCGCCTCTGCCTCAACTGCCACAGGTGGTTGCTGATAGAAAAATATTTTTCTTTCGAAAAAAGAATAAAATAGTGGTTTATTTAAGTTTTTATAGGTTATGTAGCATCAGAACTAGAATATAGTTCCTAGGCAGGAGAAATATCCTGCCTAAAGATGCATGTTTAAGCACATCTTCATTAAAACAGATATATTTAAACTCTAAAGGATAATAATGATATTCTTTATTTACTTTGAAGCTGATTGGTCTGCTTCCTTATGCAGGATGGAGCAGAATGAGTGCGAGTGTCCTTGTGAGTGCCCTCTGGAGGTCAATGAGTGCACAGGCAACCTCACCAATGCTGAGAACAGGTCAGTCACAAATGAAGCAACTCTTACTACTACAGGTCCAAACACAAGCTTGTTTTATGGATGACAACAGAGAAAGTGAGCAACAAATGAGAGTTTGGTGATAAAACCAAATACTAAACAAGCAGCTTGGAACCTGCAGAGTAATTTGGACTCAGGATTGGGTGTGAAGGTAGAGCAGTGGGAGTCCAGAAGAGAGCGCAATAACCATTCGGGAAGACGGGGGTGGGGGGGAGAAATGCACGGAGTATTCAGATGACTCATTAGGAAAGCTCTAATCATGTCTCAGTATCGCAACGGGAATCTTTCACATTTCACTGTGAATTAACACAAAAACCGGCTTTAAAGAATCGCGATCTGCCCTCTGTCCACCATGTTATGTTTTCCTTCTGTATTAAGGTCTCTGATCAGATGTTTACACTCATAATTTACATTAGTGCTATATTATTTGGGGGTTTTAATGATTAGTTTAAGATGTCTATTTTGTCAGTGATTGAGAATTACTCTACTTCAAATCTTAATATATTGTTGACACAACGTCATATTTATAGACATTCACATTCCCACAAATGTATCGAGGAGATGCTAATTTTTAACTTGCATTTTGGTCAGGCACTTTATGAGCCATAAAATAACATTCTGGATGTATTTTAAGATTAAATTAAACTGCTTTAACTCTGAACTTTTATCCATTTTAAAGTGTTGCCCCTTCATCCCTACAGAAGTGTTTGGTTGTAATATTTGCATTATATATGAACTACATTGTACAGATGGATGTTTCTGTGGGTTTTCTCATCCTCCGTTTTTCTTGCTGCCCTTACCAGTTTTCCTCTCTGCGTCTGTCACTCCGCATCTGTCCATCATTCTCTGTCCATCATTCTCTGTCCATCATTCTTGTTGTTTCACCCACCTCCTTTCATCAGCCATCAGCTGCCTGTGACAGCACGTCAATGTCTCAGATCCCTGCTTTATGTAATTAGCATTTTCACTGTCAGCTTGTCTATTTTTTGTGTTGCTGTGCTTTAACAGACTCCATATGATGATGTTTATTCCCTCCTGTTGCATACAGTCATGTTCCATTCCTAGATTTAAATTACTCCTTTGTTTTTTGGGGGGGTTTTTTGTTTGTTTTGTTTTGTTTTTTCCATTTTACTGTAACCAATGGAAGTGCCCCTCTTTGTTTTTTTCCTTCTTCATCCTGTTGATTTGTTATACAGGAACCCCAGCTGTGAGGTGCATCAAGAACCAGTCAGCCTGAATGTGATTGATCCCGGTCTGCATGACACCCTGCCGCAGTGCATCAACACCCGCTGCAGCCAGAGATACTCCAGCAGGTGCACACTCTCTCTGCACTTCTTTAATATGCATATATTTGTAAAGTTTAAAGATGTATTACGAGCACCTGCAAGTCAAAAGGGCAAAAAATATGAAGCAACACCATTTTTTGGCAGTTTTTTTTTTTTTCAATGTGTAGATCATACAACTTCAGTGATTTTGTGATCTCTGTTCAGGCTCAGTATAAAAATGCTACCCCAATTAAATTATTTATTATACAATGGACCCCTAGTATTTGCAAGGGTTAGGGACCACAGTGATCCCCTCTGAAATGCTAATAACTTCAAATTTTAATACTTCAAACACCAACTATACCTTAATATGCATTAATATACACAGTGGAAACTGTTTTAGAATTGCCACTAAGCTAACGTTTATAGTTTTCCTTCTTTCCACTCTTAGGGGTTTCAGTCAATCAGCACCAAGAAAAATAACTGGTGGTCCAGGATTGGCTGTTTTGAAAACACCAGTCAGTTTCAGCTTCCCAATCTAAAATTTCTTTTGAATATTTTTTAGACATGCTGTATATGAAAAAGTCTAGGAAAAAGTCAATCTTCTCCAAATAACTTGGAGTTACGTTTAACAGAAAAATGCAAACTGGGTGAATCCACAGATACTGATCTCTTTATGTCGTAATAAGATTTTTTTTCCATCAAGAATAATTCTGTCTGAATATTTGACCTCTGTTCAGGAGGGTTGAGGTTTCAAAAAGTTTTATGTTTCCTACTTTATTTGTTAACAAACCACTTTTGATGTGCGTTTTGGGTCATCATCGTATTGAAACACCAATACAACACTGGAATATAGCTGTTGATTTAAGGGGAAGTTGAGTAATTTTATTATTCCCCTCCTTTACAAATATATTCACTTTACTGTATCCCCACAGCATGTTGCCACCACTGCCGTGCTTGGCAGTTGATGCCGTGCTCTCAGGTTTATGGGATCATAACGACTTTTCCAAACACGTCTTGTTGCACAAAGTCCAATAGTGAAAGTGACATTACTACACTTACCATAGAAGAATATCCTGAGAATGAAGATAATTCCTTCTGCTATATGCACAGTATATTCATGTTTATATTCTTGTTCTAATCTCCGTATGCTGCTCTGTGTTTCAGTGACTGTTTCGGTGTGCTGGACTGTGAGTGGTGCATGGTGGACAGCGATGGTAAGACCCACCTGGACAAGCCGTACTGCGCTCTGCAGAAGGAGTGTTTTGGAGGCATCGTTGGAGCCAAGAGTCCATATGCAGATGGTCTGGGTCTTATTGGTGAGTTAAAGGAACCCTGGAAATCAGCACATTTGAATAGAAGAAAATACACAACCTACATAAATATAACAAGAACACATTTGCTTTGAAATAGCAGCTCTCTAATCATGTAATTTATGGACCGTTATTTTTATTTTTTTTTTTCCTAAAAATGTGTACATGTTTTCTCAACAGCTTTGGCTGTCTGCCTTGCGTTGATAATATTTCACACGTATGATAGAACAGAAATCATGTATAAAAATGTACCAGCATCGCAGCAGGGGATTGAATCTCAGCATAAATAGTTTGATTTTGTTTCTTCTTCAGGCTTTTGGAAGATTTTTAACTGATTCTTTTAAAAAATATAAAATATATTAATAACATTAATAATAATATTCCCACTGGCTTCCAGAGGGAATGTTCAGTTGTAAGAGCAGAATCAAGAGGTTCACACAAAAATTCCAAAAAAACTAACAACAACAATAATAATAATGTACTATATAACATAAGAATACTCTACAGTTATAAGCTAGAAAAGAAATTGTAATCCTAGGAATGTGCAAATGAGTATGGTGATTTTTTTTTTCCATGTGCATACATAATATGTATGTGCTGAACATTAAAAGAGACAACAGAGTATTTACAATGCAGTATCTCAGTGCAGTGCAGAAAAGCAGATGTTCAATAACAGCAGAAATGTTACTTGAAAATGAGTAAAATCATTCTTCTTCATCATTCTTTTCACTTCTTTTGCAGATGAGGAAGTGGCATCTTTGAACATGATCAAGAGCGCCCCTGTGGGTCCGGTCGCTGGGGGCATCATGGGATGCATCATGGTGCTGGTGCTGGCCGTGTACGCCTACCGACATCAGATCCACAGACGCTCACACCAGCACATGTCACCACTTGCTGCACAGGGTGAGTCTGGGGACAGATTCATGTCTTAAAGAGACGGTGCATCTATATCGAAATAGAGGCAACTGCAGATGAAGCGTTATATTTTGACATTTTCTTCTTATTCAAAAACAATATCCATAGCTTTACTACAGAGGTTATAAGGAAATAATACAATAACATGAAAATGAGGTTGAAGTAAGTGGGGCTGGAGACAAATGTACACCACATTTTTCAGAGTTTCACTTGTGAATAAAAATGCTCATGTTAACTTTTTGTATCAGTTTACCAAAGGAAATGTGTGTGTTAAAAAATCTATCTACTAATTAAGAAAATTAGTAAACACTCGTACATCAGTTGGAGAAAAACGTTATATCACTCACTTTATATTCAAAGCCACATGTAATCATTGTTTTCATCCTTTTTCGTCTAGATTTACTTGGATAAGTATGAGGTTTTGTAATACACGATGAGATGAAAACTATATAGTCATTGTTTTTGTTATTGTTGTCTTGTGGACAGGTTGTTGTCTTTTGAATACTTCAGTGGCTGATTGTAGAATAACTAATGACTGTAAATCATGAAACTGTTGGCAAATGTTTTGGTTTTGAACAAATTTGTAAATTTAATTATTCTTTAACTTTTCTGGTTAATCTATAAGAAGAGGCACTTTGACAATAAAACAGTGCAGTTCTGTCCTTTTAACAGTTCACTCCTAACCTGTTGAATGCTCGAGCAGTGAAGAGTGTCTTATTTTATGTCATTTTTCTCTATTTTTCCTGCAGAAATGTCTGTGAGAATGTCCAACCTCGACAATGAAAGAGACGAGAGAGACGAAGACAGTCATGAAGACAGAGGAATCAGTAAGCGCACCACCTTACATCTATTTTCAAACATTTCTCTCCTATTATTTAATAAAGCCTCCATTTAGCACCTTGCTAACCTGTGTGCTGTCTTAACTTTCAGTCAGTAACACCAGATTCATAGCTGCAGTCATTGAGAGACACACTCACAGTCCTGAACGGAGACGGAGGTACTGGGGCCGATCGGGGACAGAGAGCGACCATGGTAAGACAAACACTCAATTTATTTAGTAAAACACATAAGTGGGTAAACATATATGCTTGAGTTTATTTAAAATTGATGAAGTTCCTTTTATCCTATTTGTTTTCCTGAAATACCCCCTTTAAAGTCAAAAAAAATTCTAAGCCTGTATTTTAATTCAGTTATTTAATCTCAGGTTCTAACTTTGTGAAAAACAGTTAATTTATTGATGGTTTGCTGACAGGCAAAAGGGTTAACTACAATAATTTCTTGTCATATTGAGACTTATTAGACAAGTCTCACTAGCTAAGATGCTAGAGCATCTTGGCTCCAGCATCTAGACTTGGATTTTAAAGCTTCAATGGATTTTGTAGGCATTTTAAATGGGAAATACTAAAGGAGAGTGCTGCATACCGTAAATTATTCGGTTTTTTTTGTTTGTTTTTTTAAACAAAAAGAGTCCCTTTTTACTCTGTCACCCTAAATAAAATCCAGAAATGATCCAATTAGTTAACAGAGTTCAGATATTTGGTTTCTAATTCTGCTACTACTATGAAGCCATCAGATGTTTGTGACCAACCAGTATCATGTGGACCAAATTCAGATAGAAGCTGAATATTTTGGTATGCATGCAAACGTGACAGAAAACTTGCACTATGTCAAACACAGTGGTGGTAGTATCATGCTGTGGGAAGGCCTTTCACTAGGACTGAGGGTCAGAGTTGGTGGGAAGATGGATGGAGTTAAATAAAAGAAACACTGGGGGGAAAAAAAATCCTGTGAGACGACCACTAAACTTGCAGCCAGAGCTACAAATAGGGCGTTAGAATGGACCAGTCAAAGTCCAGACCTGAATCCAACATGGTGCATTACATAGCGGAATTTTTTTTTTTGGAAAAAAAAATTCCAATTAATTAAGCTGCTACTTTGTTTTGCAAATAAGACTGGGTCAAAATCACACTGGTTGCTAGGTTTTGTTTTATTACGCAGCATGTAATGTGAAATAAATGAAGGTTTCTTAATTGTCCAGACCCTGAACTTTCTGTGACACTTAGGAAACAGGAAAACCTTCCTTTTTCAAGGCTTCACAAAGTTAAAAAAAAAAGAAACCTGAATAATTGTTCAGTTTAGTTTCACATTCTCTCCCTTTGCGCCCAGTTCTGAGCTCTCCTTTTATTCTTCGCATTAATCACAAGCCTGAACCCTGATTTTCTCTTCATCTGAGCTGACTGGCTCATGCTCGCTTTTTAAGAATTTTCTAAGTCTGACACTTGCTGTGGACGGACACTTTCACCCACACAGGCTCTCTGCCTCCCACATATGTGGCATCATTCCACTTCCTGGCAACCAGGATCTCTCGTACTTGTTGCATAACCGATGTTTGACGGAGAACAGGGGTGAACTTGAAGAGAAGAGTGTGGGCTAAAATGAAACAAAATCAGAATGTGCAAGCGGTTCTGCTGAATGTAGCACCACAGATGGTGAAACAGAACAAATGAGTTGGAACACTTTCTAGTTGCACTCCTTGCATCTTTTCTGCATGCAGCACCCTCTACACTTATTAGCATCACTGCTACAGAGTACAGCTGCATGAAAAGCCACAAAATAAATGAATCTTTTATTACACTCTTAGAAATGTACAAAAACTAACTAATCCAGCTATTCTGTTCAATAAATTTAAATATAGCATTTTTTAAAATTACTGCAGCACAGACTAACATCTGCATAACGACCACTAAACAATATCCTCAAGATAGCTACTCATTTGGACTAACGGTTGAATTGATAATTTCTTCCCTGCCACAAACAGGTTTCACCCCATTCAAAATAAGAGCAACTATGTAAACGACTAGCTGCTTGAAGAATCCTTAAGTCGATAATCAAAACTTCAACACAATGTTGAATCTTATTCAACTGAAAGTTTTCGAAACAACCAAGTAAATTAGCGCTTTAAAATTTATCCAGAAAAATTTTCTCCGGGGTACATAGGTGTGCTAAATGTTTTCAAAGTTAGCTAAAGCGCTAATACGGTAGCGGATTAGTGGAAGTGTACCCACCACTGCATATATGAATTATTTTAACCTGCCTTTCATTTTTATAAATTGTTTCTTCAATCTGACTTCTTGACACTGAAGTCAGATTTCTTGTTTGTTCGCACTATTTCATCCAAAAAAACTTATTGTGATTCTGAGGACAGTTTCAAGCTCCTGCTTCATCTCTTTCATTCGTTTCGCCCCTCCTCCTCTTCAGTCATTGGTCATTTTCACCCTTTTTTCTTGTTATTCTCTTGACATTGAATTTGTAAATCTGCATCCGAGGCGACTTCCCAGTTTTAACTCCTGTTAGGATTTTAAATCTTTTTGGATTTCAAACTTTAATAAAATAAAACTTATTATTGTCTGACAACAAAAAATGGCTACCATTTCAAATCTATTCCAATAGTAACCATAGAATTATTGAAATTTAAAGAAAGTATTTTTATACATTAAGGATGATGATAACATAATCAATCTCTGTGTTCAGGCTACAGCACCATGAGTCCACAGGAGGACAGCGAGAATCCGCCCGGAAACAACGACCCCCTCTCGGCAGGGGTCGACGTCGGTAACCACGACGACGACATGGACCTGGACACGCCCCCTCAGACAGCCGCGCTGCTGAGCCACAAGTTCCACCCGTACCGACACGTCCACACCCACCACCACCCGCTGCACACACAGACGCATCACCTGCAGGCCGCCGTGACCGTGCACAGCGTGGACGCAGAGTGCTGATGCTCCAGGGGACTGAACTAGTTTTTATCAAAAGACTATTTTTGTAAAACATTTGAGTTTAATGAGACGATTCACACTGTGTACTTCAAGGTTCAGACGAGTGGAGGAAGATTACCACAGTTGGACCCAATTCCTCAGAGCTGCTCGGATTCTCACTCTGAATTATGAATGATGCCGCAATGTGTCGTTGTGGCAACATCTTCTTTCTCTCATCCCCTCTTTAATTCAGCCGAACTTAAAGCACATGCAAAAGGCAGACCTGGGCCACTACATGTAAGCAGTTGGATTTCCAGTTTTTTTCCTTTGAAGGATTCAGAACTCAGTTTTAACGAGAACAGGAGACAACTGGAACCCAAAAACTTTGAGCAGAGACACAAATCTTTCAAGGTTGGGTCCAGTATGGACTTTTCTTGGCTATAAATCCAGCCCAAAGTAGGTGGCACCTCTGCAAAGGGCCATTGCCCAGAGATCCAGGAAGGGCACAGTAGAGGGCAGCATCTCTGAAAAACAGAAAAATATATATTTTTTCTCCCTAACAAAGAGCTGAGTCTAGTGGAACTCTAACGATACTTTTCTCTCAACTTTCTGGTCTCCAGAGTTCGTTTATCTGGGAGTTGTAGCCTTTCTCCTAAAAAGAGGCTTCTGGTGTCATCCAACATGCCGTCGGGTGGTACCTGAACACTTTCATGAATGTTTGTGAATATCAGCGTAGGGAAGAAAATGCTTCAACATTTTGCATAAATACATAAAAAATACACTTTGAGTACAATATTATTTTTCTACTATTTATTAAAGACGTAGATCTTCAGGAACTGACAAAGCAGTGAGGCAGTAAGTCATTTTGCAAACAACACATCAGATTTAAGGCTCATTATTTTTGTTTTTTTTCTCCCCTGAAAATACAACAGACACTATTAATTTTCTTAGATCTATTTTTATTATCACATGTTAGAAGCTACATAAATAAAACTTTTTTTTTATTGCAACAATTTTTTTTAATTTGTGATTTTTTTCCAAAATTTTGTTTTTTTTTTTTTCAGTCTTGTTACATTTGCAGCTCATAAGGAGTTGGCTCTTTGGATTATAAAGGTTACACATCCCTGACATAGATGATGAAAGAAAATTTGTTTTAAATCTTGTTACCTTATGATAATCAGATTATGCAGCAGTAGAGATATCAGTTTAATATCAATTTAAGATGTTCTCTAAGTCAAACATGTCGAGAGGAAACAGAGTGAATTTCATTTAGGTTTTTGTGCCATTTTCAAGCTTATGGTGAGAACAAACTCATATTAAACTCAAAAGATCAGTAAACACGTTTATGAAGCTTAATTTGAGGGGGGAGAATCAGGATAATGAGCCTTATTCTGTGTCATTACATGTAGCACATATTTCAGTTTTCTCGAGGTGTGTGTATTGTTCAAAGGAAGCATTTTCGATAAGGGTGGAAAATTATTCTCCACATCTAAAACAGAATTTTTTGTGCTTGTTTAAAAAAAATAAAAAATAGTTCAACCTTTGGTAGATGGAGGAGCAGCACCTGAAGCCAACACCAGCATAAAAACATTCCTGGCTTTAGTCACTGCCGGGGAGATTTGTGTCAGGATGATAATTGGGGGATCCTTTAAGAGTCCCTGGTGTAGGCGGACATTCTCTGTCCTGAATAGAAAAGCGGGACAGGACGTTGTCTCACTACAACCTTTTTGCCTTTGAGGCCAAGCTGATGCTGCATGTGCTGCATGTGAAGGCCGTGTGCATCGACGTCGTTCTTATCAGAATGGAAGGAAAGGAACGCTGCTGCTGGGCAGAGGTTTACAACCGACCGTCGGCTCCTCTGTGGTTAACCACTCAAACTGTACGTTTGTTTTCATGTGTGTTTGTGTGTGTCGGAGGGAATGACAGTGTGTGATGAATGTGTGACTATCCACCGGAAACACTTTCCTTGAAAGCATTATTTTTTTAAAATAGTGTTAGAGAATAATAGGTGAATTTATTATGAATGGAAATCCTCTGTTTCTCTCGTGAGGTTGCTTCTTTCCGTGCTTTTGTTTTGTTCAGATCCTGTCGGTGTGGCATCTTACGAGTGCCAAGATGTCTATTGTTCTGCAGAGATCCATTATAAAGTGTAAATACAGAGTCATGAATAGTTATTAATGTCCTGTACACTCATTTAAAAAAAAAACAACAAATGTTGATATTCAGATATTGAATCGTCTGTTCATGGTGTCTCGCTATATCTTTGATGCCTTGGATGTTTTTCTTTTATTTTTTTAGGCTTATTTTTCTTTAGGTCCATATTGGATGGAAGTCAGTACTTGGAAATTTTAATACACAGTTTATGTTAAAGAGAATTGTAGTTTTTAAAGGTTTATTATTGTGTGTCTTTGAAAGCTATGTAAAATACAAAACAACTCTCCACACGCTAAATTAGATTCGACAGTTTTCCATTAACGACCAAACCAAATGTTTCTACCCAACTCTTAATTTGTTTCACTTTTCTTTTAAGAAGAAAAAGCTGCGAAAGGGTTGCATCTTTTGATTCGAGTGGAACAGGCATACAGAAAATGGAGGCTTTTTTCACTCCAAACTGAATTCTTCATCTTTTTGTTTCAGCAGTATTTCCAAATAGGCTTAAAAATATAGTATGTGTGTTTATACAGAACACAGAATTACAAGTTATTGACCGAAGGAACATGTGTACGTCTCCCAACCCCGCTCCCAATGTATCGTATACAGTTAACTGAGATTAATTGCAATGTGAATGTGATAAAGTACATTTTACAGTTAAACTGTCTGTCTGTGATTCCTAAGATGATGTCAGCATGATGTCAGACGGGAGGCTAAATGATTTCTAAATAATTTATTCGTTGCAGAAAGAAAGTCTTGGGTTTGAATCCTGTGTGAAGTTTGAATGTTCTCTTCAGATACCCCGGCTTCCTCCACCAATCCAAAAACATGAGTGTTTAGTAGAGTTTTAAATCAGAACTACTATAAATTTGTGTCAGTCCAACCACACATAAGTTCCAATTAATCGTTCTTATCAAACAGTAGGATTAATAGATATTCAAATTAGTTTTGAAAGTTTTCTATCTAATTAAAGCCAGCAGATTGCATCATGTTGCAGCATTCTGTCCTCCTAGATGAGCACGTAGCAACAACAATCGATTGCATTGACTTTACAACAAACATGTAGCAACAGGGGAGATGAAAAACCTCCTCTTTAACAGGAAGAACCTTCCAGAACCGGGCGCAGTACAAACAGCCACCACCAAACCTGGGTGTTTGAGAAAATGGAGCAGATACAGAAGAGCTGATGTAGGACTACTTTCCATGTCAATGAAAAGTAAAAAGTTAATGTCAGGAAAGGGAGAACTTTCAATTGCTGGCAGCGTTATGTCAGCTGATGCCCCTTCTGTAAGGCATCGCAGCCAAACCAAGAGCCAGACCAGATGTAGCTTCTATGGCGAGGAAACAAAGTAATGCAAATTTGAGAGTAGTACAAGAAAAAAAGTGGAGAAAAGTGGTCAAGCAGCCTTTGTTACTTTCTCTTTCCCCTTCTCTGCCGTACTTCCTCTCCAGCTACTAATGAATAAACACCACTAGATTTGCCAAAACCTTCTTTAAAAAAAAAAAAAAAGCTACTGGAAATAAAACAGCTGAGGCTTTAAGGTTCCACCTGGAATAAAATCTTCAGTTCATAGTCAAAGTCGGAGAGGACAGATCAGGAGGCGGCGTGTTGACTTCTTCCACATAAGCAAATTTTATGTAAATTTCCATAAGGACTGCTCTGTAGCCTCGCCTGAAACACTGGGCTGAAACGGCTTTTAAACGCTACGGCCTTACGACTTTCCTCCAGCTCCCTTTTTTATCCCTACAAAAACGAAAGCAATGAATGGCTGAGAACTAATATAAAAAACCCTTAAAGGTTTCACTGCACCATTAAGGGGAAGTCCGTCTGCTGCTCTACTCATGCAGCATATTATAACAATCTGTGTACACAGGATATTGTAATTCCAAAGTGTGAGTTGCTCTGAACCATTTCTGAGTCAGCTGGACTGAAATACAGATGGTCACAGATTCTAGCTTCATCATAAAACTGTGACCACACCAGAAATGAATGGAGAATATTAAAGATAAAATAATTAAATGTTATATTAGTGGTGAGAAAAGTCACACACAAGGTTGGTACAAGTACACGTGGCTGTTGAGTCCAACTTAATGCTGGACTGGAGCGTAGGACACTGACCCTCAACATACAACCAGAGGAACAACAAAATGTATTGGGATGGTCTAGTCAAAGTCCAAATGTAAATTCATCTCCTAATTGGATTTACAACTAAATGTTTTTAGATTCTCTCTTTCCAATCAAATTAAGTTAAATATTTTTTACAAAAAACAGGCATTTTAGTTTTGAGATATGCAAACCTGCTTGCAGCTATGATTGCAGTGGAAGGACCTTTATAGTGGTTTAATTCAGATGCCTGAATTAAACCCATCCAGTACTTTTACAAGTCACTTATACTTGAGATCTGTTCTTCATGAGAGCTTAAAAAAAAACTAATTCATATTACTTCCACACATAAATCCTACTTTTAAACACACAAATAAAATAATCTTGTAGTAAAATGCTGAAAGCCTGAAAAAAAATCCCTAATTAGATTTTTTTTTTAAAAGCTGCATTGTGAACTTTGAATGTCCAAAAAGAATTTTAACAAATTGTTAAAATGTTTTGACATTTTAAAATAACTCATTAAAATTCCATTCAACACCTCTCAAACAAGTCTTCTTTTGAGAGCCAGGAAAAAGATTTGCAGTCTTTTTTTTCCTCCATTCTGTCCATATGCCTCTGGTCTGTCATTGCTGGCCTTGCGTTCACATTTACTAACAGCAGAGGAACTCTGTCTGAAGCCTTTCCAGCTTGCATTATTCTCTCTGGTTCATGCAGGGACATTCAGGACACCTACACTGCAAAGAGCTCCTCTTCAGAGGCATGTTGGCCTTATTTGGAGAGAAATCTTTTATGAGATGCACATTTCCTCCTTTACTGAGCTGGTAGAGCGTTCAGGTTTGGTTATCGGTTGTTTTCTTTCTTTACTGCATGAACAGAGACCCAGTTTACAACTAGCAGGAAGTCTAATTTATAAAACTGAATGGAAAGGTTTTGAAAACGTTTCGGTCCCCAATGCAAATAAAATTCAGGTTTTCCAGGTGGTTGCAGCAAACTAGTTTGACAAGATCATTTTGTATAGTTAAATACAGCTACTTAAACAAGTTTATCCAAAGTAAACACTCAATCTAGTTTCAGTTTTCTCTCCACTGAAATGTATTTAAACCCCTGACTAGAATTCTCTTTAAAATGTATGTGATGCAACCAATCAAAGGCTTTACTAGTTGCATCAGGGAGCAAGAGAACACCTCAGCATCTGGATTCTTGATGGTTTCATTATATACTAGAAATAATTATGGCCAAAATGATCAGAGAAGAGATTATTTGTCATGCTCAAACAATGAAGAGGATTCCAGAAAGAAAACAAAGTCCCTGACTGTTCCCAGAGACACAGATGGAAATTCTCAAGTTAAACAAACAGTGGCTGCACCATCTGGATGTGGCAAAAAGCTACATCCAAAATGTGCTTTCATCAGATTCCATGGCTCCTCGGGAATCTGCTACCAGATAGTTTTGGTCTGGTAGGAATCTGCTACCAGATTCCTGAGGAGGTATGGAGTCAAAAAACTTTTGACCCAAAATTAAC